TGGTGAAATCTGGAGATGAAGGGAGAGGATTAAAAGGATAAAGACACAAAATTAGTTTGAGTATTTTATCAGGTTATGTTGAGGGGAAAAACATATCCGGTAAAAAGTTGTAACATTTGTATTTTTTACGAGTTTTTAGATGGTTTTAAGGAAAACTGTCATTAATATTTAAACCATTTCTAATATTTAAAAACATCTAAAGCATTAAAGTTATTTATTCTCCCATTGTCGGTAGAATAAGAACCATAAGTGTTGGGTATCTGCTGAGCTGAATGAAGAATCTGACCTAAATACCGGTTTGCTAACTTCCAGGAACATGCGTCTCCTGAATACCTCCATGCTCTGTCCTCCCTCCTGCTGCTGAACATATGAGAGTGTAGGAGTCAATATCTGAGGCATGCTCAGATCCGAGCCGCACTGAATGAATAAACACGTCTGTAACAGTTTCGGTAAACAACAAAGGCCTAATGTGATTTTTAACTTTAATTTTCAGGTTCATTTGTGATTAAATGTAATTTTAAAAGACATTCTGCAGGATCAGCACCAGAGCCCCTTTAAAGGATGGGTTGGATAAGGGGACTTTACTATTATTATTATTGTATTATTTTAAAAAGGGGTCAGCAATCACAGTTTAAAGATTACAGTCCTTTATGATTACTAAACCTGAACTCTGGGTCAAATTTACAGGCTTATTTAAGGATAAACAAGCTACTTTAAACCAGTATGTAAGCAAAAATGTATACACAGTACACCTCAGAGAAATGTAGCCACAGGTGTCTGTGAAGGTTCTCAGTCATCCAGGTCATCGTAGTCAAAGGAGCTTGCAAAGAAAAGCGTCTGGACTTCTTTAAGTTGCTTGAAGACGTTTCACCTCTCATCCGAGAAGCTTCTTCAGTTCTAGGGTCAAATGGTGGAGAGTCCCAGATATAAACCTAGTGGGAGTATCCCCCCACAGAGGGACAAAAGGACCCCCTGATGATCCTCTAATCGCCTGAGCCAAGGTGTGAAACTGGGTGTGGGTCCCAATCAGCCAGAGTTTCGGGTGTGTTCATTGTGAAACCTGGCCCCACCTTATCATGCGAATTCCTGAGGTCAGATGGCCCAGGATGTGAGTGGGCGTTCAGGCGTCTGGGGAGGTAACTCAAAACTGGATTATAGATGGCAGGGAGTTGGTGTCGTAAACCCCCGCCTCTGTTCAAAGATGGTTGCTCACAGTGGACATAGATGGCTTCTTTCACTCCTCTTTCAAACCATCTGTCCTCTCTGTCCAAAATGTGAACATTGGCATCCTCGAAAGAGTGTCCTTTATCCTTAAGATGCAGATGGACTGCTGAGTCTTGTCCTGTGGAGGTGGCTCTTCTATGTTGTGCAATGCGCTTGTGAAGTGGCTGTTTGGTCTCTCCAATGTAGAGGTCTGAGCATTCCTCGCTGCACTGTACAGCATACACCACATTGTTAAGTCTGTGTTTTGGCATTTTGTCTTTCGGGTGAACCAGTTTCTGTCTGAGCGTGTTGCTGGGTCTGAAATACACTGGGACGTCATGCTTGGAGAAAACTCTCCTGAGTTTCTCTGATACACATAGGGGATGACAATGTTGTTGCATCTGTCCTTCTTATCCTCCCTCGCTGGTGTCTGATCTTCTTTTCGGTGCATCTTTGCTGACTTTAAGAACGCCCAATTACGATAACCATGTTTTGAGTGCTTCCTTTACATGTGTGTGTTCCTTCTTTTCCCCTTCAGGCTTAGAGGGAACATGTTCTGCCCGGTGGTGTAGGGTCCTAATTACTCCAAGTTTGTGTTCCAGAGGGTGATGGGAGTCAAAGAGGAGGTACTGGTCCATGTGTGTGGGCTTCCGGTAAACTTTGATGTCGAGGTTGCCATTCTCTTCAATGTCCACAGCGCAGTGCAGGAAAGGCAAACAGTCGTCCTTTGTGTCTTCCCTGGTGAACTTGATGTTTTTATCCACATAGTTAATGTGCGCAGTGAAGGATTCCACTTCTTGTGTTTTGATTTTGACCCAGGTTTCGTCCACATATCTGTACCAGTGGCTGGGTACTCTTCCTTTGAAAGAGCCAAGAGCCTTCCTTTCCACTTCCTCCATGTAAAGGTTGGCTACAATAGGTGACACGGGGGAGCCCATGGCACAGCCATGTTTTTGTCTGTAGAAGCCTTTGTTGTATTTGAAGTATGTTGTGGTAAGGCAGAGGTCTAACAGTGTGCAAATCTGATCGAGTGTCCTGTCCTCCAAGGAGCTGTCTTCTTGTAGTCGTTTTCTGACAGTCTCCACGGCCTCCGTGGTGGGTATGCAAGTGAAGAGAGAGACTACATCAAAGGACACCATGGTTTCATCTGGATCCAGGGTAAGTTTCTGGACCTTGTCGGTGAAGTCGGTGGAGTTCTTGATGTGGTGTGTGGTGTTCCCCACGAGAGGAGCAAGGATGGTAGCAAGGTGTTTTGCAATGTTATAAGTGGCTGAGTTTATGCTACTGACTATGGGTCTGAGTGGGACAGCTTCCTTGTGGATCTTAGGAAGTCCGTAAATGCAGGGTATGGCATCCCCTGCGTAAAGGCGGTGATATGTAAGGCGGTCAATGATTTTGTCCCTTTCAAAGTCTTGAAGGCAAGCTATAACTTTCTTTTTGTAGCTGCTTGTGGGGTCTCGCTTTAGGGCTTCGTAGGTATTGTTGTCACTGAGGAGAGTAGTGATCTTTGTATGGTAATCTGTAGTGTTTAGGACCACGGTGCATCTTCCCTTATCAGCTGGTAAAACAGTGATGTTGTGGTCTTTGCTCAGGGAAGTGACGGCCTTCTTTTCCTGTATTGTGAGGTTGGATGGAGGGACTTTGGCACTGGAGAGCATGGCTGAGACTTTCATCCTGATTTGCTCTGCTTCTGTCTGTGATAATTTATTAATCCGTATGGCAGATTCTGTGGCTGTGATGAGGTCCACTATGGGCAACTGTTGTGGAGAAATGGCAAAATTGAGTCCTTGGCTAATACTCTCTTTTCAGGTTCAGTGAGAATCCTGTCTGAAAAGTTCTTAACCCATTTCTCCTGACTGGCATCAGGTGTGTTTTCTTCTCTGGGTTGTGTAGGTTCAGGATGAGGAGTGTGTGTTTTTGAAAGCAAGGTGTGAAATGTCCTGCGTTGTCTTTCTTTTCCTTTAGAGTGTTGGACCCGCTGAGCCTTGTCCACAAACTTGTAAACCTCTTCTAAGATTGGAGAGGGTAGAAGGGTTTCCAGTTCCTGCAGAGTCTGGCTGATCTTGATCTGGAGGGCATCTATGGTGAAATGGACCTGTCTTATCCTTTCACTTAAAAAGTGATTTTTTGCTCTCTGTAGAATCAAGTCTGCTCTGTATCCCCTGACCGTGGATCCAAGGCGCAGGCTCTTAGAAACAACTCTGCTTTGTCTGCATCTTAGGTTGAAATGGAGATGGTTCCTATGATCCGCTAGTTTCCTTGATTCCCTTTCATACTCCCGCACCAGTTGAAGGGTGTTCCTCCAAAAATGTACGGCAATATGTCTGTGAAGGTTCTCAGTCATCGTAGTCAAAGGAGCTTGCAAAGAAAAGCGTCTGGACTTCTTTAAGTTGTAGCCACAGGTGTAAAGCTGACGTTTAGGGTAGAAAATTCCCAACATGTGTCCATTTGTTTTGCAGTGTTTGAGTTTGTCATGCTTTAAGATGAGCTGCACAGGCTGGAGAACGACCTCTTCAGTTTCAGAGAGACACGACGGGTATTTCCCAGAGTCTGGGCTGCACAGGCCCAGCCACTCTGGCCTCCTCACTCATGCTGGTTACTACAAATTCAACTGAGCTTACACTGCATTAACTCTGTGGGCGTTTAAGTTTTTTCATGACCAAACTGTATGAATTCATGTGATTTACAGTTGAAGGGTATCATTAGAAATCAGCTGAAGGCCACAGTGACTTTTTTGGATGGGCCTTGACCCCCGTTTATGTTTTTATGATGCTTCTTTAGCGAAAGTCTCAGAATTTGTAATAAATCTGGAGAATTGATGAGTTAAGAGGGTATTTAAGGGAACAAAATCAGAAAAGTATCAAAAAATATTTATTTAGTATTTGGGGGATAAAGTATGTAATTAATTCAGAATGACAGTTTTTGGTTAAAAAACAAAAAATAAATAAATATTTACTAAAATGTTAAAAAAACACAAAAAAACTGCCAAAAGTCAGAATTGTGTGGTTCAAAGCTGACTTTGATATCAATATCTTCCATCATCATTATTCATTATCAGCTGTCATGATGAAGAGGAGGAGGAGGAAGTCTTCATCATGTCTCCAAACACAAACAGGAAGCAGTTTGAGTTTTCCCGTGTTAGCAGAAATGTACACGCTGATGATTGGAAAAATATTAGAAATGCTTTGATCCTGAAGCTTTTTGATGTTTAGTCTCCAATAAATAGATTAATGAACAGATTTCCCAAACGTTTGTTAAGTGTTCCTGTTCATGGTTTCCTGGGACGTGTAGCCTCAGTGTTACATCACAGTATCTTTAAGAAAGTCTTCATTTTGAGCTGGCAAATTCCATTTACAGCTTCATGTGATGGAAAAACATCTTTTAATGAAGCTCCTGTTTTATTTATGAAGCACATTTGTGAGCTTCAGATAAATAAATATAACACGAACTCCACACAGGAAACAGGAAGTTTGAAACCCTGAGAATGACTCAGAACTCACTGTTTAACGGTAAATAATCTGATGGATTCATAGTTTTTCTCCTTCAGGTGTGCGTGTTGTACTTCGCGAAAAGCGTTGAGCTGGCAGGTGTGAAGGAAGAGAAGACTGTTGCTGTGCCAACACCAATCAGCAGCCACGACCTTTGGAAGCTGTTGCTACAGCGGCACCCAAGGTAAAAAAAGAAAAAAAAAGCGCACATGAACATACGTGTGAAGACGAGTCAAGGTCTAACAAGTGTTTGTGTGTCCAGACTGTGCGAGCTGCAGGACGGCGTCGTGTTGGCAGTGCGTCAGGAGTACGTTCCCATCGGCGACCAGGTGCTGACTCTGGGAGACGGAGACGAAGTCGCCGTAGTGCCGCCGCTTAGCGGGGGCTAAGAGACTTGAGACTGTAAGTAATTACTGATCAGAGATCAAGAAAAACGTCCATGTCAGGTATTTGCTCTTGCTTCACTGCACAATTTAAAAATCAAAGCATATTTTCCTGTTGTGACTTTAAATCCAATAAATTAATGATAAAGAGTCAACAAGTTTGATCTAAACCACCATTTCTTTTCAAAGATGTCGAAGGAGCTGAGCGATGTCTTCAAGCTGAGCCGTGATTGGCTGTCTGTGCAGGAAGTGGTCGACTCTGTCAGCAGCCCTTCGTGTGGAGCCATTTCAGTATTTATAGGTTTGTTCCCATTTACTTTATTTACTTACCTGGATGACTGAGCATGCATCAAGAAGCAATATGGCACGTTTCTTTTATTTTTAAATATTTTAGAGGAAAATAAGTCAGAAGCATTTGATAAAGGGGAAAGTGATATATTTAATATAGGATGGGGATGTAAAGTGTCAAATGCTGGAGAGGAAAAGAAAATCTAGCATATTGATAAAATATTTAAAATTTTACTTCTTATAACTACTCAAATTTGTGTAAAGGCATTTTAGAAAAACAAAAGCTGAATTTTTATTTAATGTTCCAATACAGCATTTCAACATTTCATGTAAAATTGTGTGAAATGCCAGTATTTAAGAAAGAAGGTAAAGTAAAAACATTTGAGGACAAAGCTGCAGTTCCATTATTTTAGGAAGCTCTTCTAGTTACTTTGTTTTCAAAACAAAGTATTTTTCTTTTATTTTCTTTTAAACTACAACACTTCAGGGTAATGCTTTACAATAATTGGAGTAACTGTTGCAAAAGCCAGATAAAAATACTTTACTTAATAATAACATCTTGTTGCTATGTCATTTTAAATCTGTTGTTTGATTTGGACACGCTGGTGAGTACGTCGACCCCGGAAGGTTAAAATACTCAGCTTTTATTTCTGAAGCATGACAGTCAGATTTCCTGCTCAGTCTTAATATTTTTTACAAGTATTTCTCAAAGATATTATTAGTGTTTTGTATTTAAAGTTTAAAAAAAATAATATAGAGGTTTGTTAAAGCAGATCAATAACCAGTAACAGTCACAGCAATGAGTCGTCCTTTTGAGATCAAGCTCCTCCTCACTGTGTGTCAGACTACAAAGAGCTGTTTAGTGGTTCAGGACCAGGTGTGGATGAGGGGAAGACATGAGTCCTCACATTGCTGGCTATACAAATTTGTGCATGCGCCTGTGCGTGCTATGTGTGTACACAGGTACCACCCGCGAGGACGAGGCAGACGGCAGGAAGGTGGTTGGACTGGAGTACGAGGCATATGAGCCCATGGCCCAATCAGAGTTCAACAAGCTGTGTGCTGACATCAGAGCGCGCTGGCAAAGCGTGACACACATCTGCGTCCACCACAGGCTCGGGTGAGGACGCTAAATGTGGCAGGTTGGCGGGGCCACGCTGGTGTTACATTTGTAGTTTTTAACTTAAATAAAAAATATGACACATAGCTTCCACCATCAGGTGGGTGAAGGTGGGCGAAACCAGTGTTGTCATGGCGATCTCATCTCCTCACCGCCATGACGGCCAGCAGGCGATCCAGCACTGCATCAGCCAGCTGAAGGCTAATGTCCCCATTTGGAAGAAGGTGATACCTCGGAGCCAGTCTGATCAGCGCGATCGACACATCATGTCAATGATTATTGATTATTGATTGTGTGCTTGTGATCAACAGGAAGTTTATGACACGCAGGAGGTGAACTGGAAGGAGAACGCTGAGTGTTCGTGGTCCAATCAGAAGAAACCGCCAGAAAACACATTGTCTGAGGGAAAACCTAAATAAAAAAATGTGATAAAACACAGATACTTGTGGTGGGCGGAGCCATAATTATATGTTTAGACCATTTGAGTTTAACTCTAATTCTCTTCATTTAAAACACAATATTTCAAAAAACTAATGATCATGTAAAGCTTAAAATGTTTTAAATTTGTATTTTTGTATTGACTGAGTCTGACGGTCACATAGATTTTTTCCCCCTAAGATACTAAATGTATGAATGCTGTAAAATCTTCCAAAATGAACTAAAAACCATCATCAGAACATGAAGAAAAAACTGCTGTAAAACTTAGTGTCCAAAATATCTGTGTGTTATCTTGAAGGTAAAAGCATGTCTGTGCTGTCATTTGGTGTGATACCAATTTATACCACAAGGTGGAGCAGTGATTAAGGTTAAATCTGTAACCTTGAGTGAACCACGTGAGTTATTAGATTATATTCGTATCTACAGTGGAAGGCTGGGAAAAGTAAATCTTGGGGAGACGGAGGATCTGAAGATGTAATAAAGGTTAAAAAAAAGCAGTACGCACACCTGCTGATAAAATGCTGCCCTCTGGTGGTAAAATTTTCAATCTGAACTTTGCAGTTAAGATTAAACTGAAAAGCATCATCTTCCTCTGGATGAAGGCAAGCACACAGGTTGAAAGATTTCTCTGTAGTCCACAGGAGGAGGGTCAGTCTGGTGTATTGGTGTTCCAGCAGGAAGCAGGGCGTCTGGTTCACGCACAAAATATGAACCAAGAATTCCTGCGAGTGGTGAACGTGAACTAGAGAGAGGACAAAAGGCTGAAAATCTGATAAGATGTGAACTGCTGTGCCTTGAGGTGAAGATTTGTTCCTGTCAGTTTGCTGATTAATCTGAAGATGTTTCCTGTCCTCGTTATCGGGCGTCAAACAGACGCGACGCAGGCTTCGTAAAAACATTTTACAAATACTCACGTGTGACGTGAATGATTGAATTTATCGTAGATTAATTGGTTTCTCAAACAAAAAGCATAAAAAATGACCTGATATCAGTCGTCACCTCTGAAACCAAGAGACCATAAAGACAGTAGAAGGTCTGAATGTTTGACTCAGCAAGGGAAATATTAATTGTGGCAAGTTTAAAAGAACCATTCTTGTGCCTGCAGGCACTCCTGCAGTGAGATAAGATCATGATGACTAACAGGCGGAGTGTATCTGCATGTGAATCATGTTTGCGATCGTGTCAAACAATAAAATCTCCTGTAAAACCAACGACGTCATCCAAGAAGCTTAAGAAATCTAGAGCACGTGGTCACCAGAGATAAAAACAAAAGGACATGAAGTAAAGCGTGTAACAGTGAAGCAGATAATAAATCTGCACAACAGCTGGTGCTCACACTCTAGCATACAGCACACCAGCTGCATTTTACCACAGTGGAGCAGTTTTTATGATATTTATAAATACAGGAAAAACAAATTGAAACCTCTGTCAGAATCATGGTAAGAGGTCGAGTTCCAGGGAAGAAAAAAGCTCTTAAGATGTTATTTTTGGACAGAATATTACATTTGTGTATTCAGTTATGTCCAATTCAGTTTCTTTTAATACCGCCATGATAAGTGCCCAGAGGTGTTTCAAGAGGGTTAATCTGTCTTCTACTGGGGGTAAGTATGTCACTGTGTTACGTTCCAGATCATGTTAAACTGATGCTTGTGTTTCCTTTACGTGAGTAGAGACGTTTGCTCCACAACAAAATGCAGGGAATATAAATTAGGGATTACAATTTCAGCAGAAAGCAGGAGATAACATTTCTGTGTCTTTAAATTTTTATGTTTCCTCAAACGAAACCTGATCTCTACCCTTCAGTGATTCACTCTTTCCTTCACTGGCTGTGTGTGAAAACTAGTAGACATTCGAGTTACCTGCTCAGGTGATCAAACTCAACAGGCTCTGAACCTGTTGAGTCACCTGATGAAGGTGAAACTAGACTACTTCTTCTTTTTTTCCTTTTTTTTAAGAAAAGGTTTCCATAGGTCATCGCCTCTCATTTCACCCATTGCTAAATGGGTGAGGAAAATGAAGCAAGCATTGGGTTGCTGTAACTAACCTGATCAATTAATACATGCCTGCTTCTCACAGGAGCCTTTACGTTGGCCGTTAAATGATCGTGCACCTTTTATCTAACCTCTTTTTTTCTTAACATGTTCAGAGGATAACATGCCCCATATGAATGATGTATAAAACGATTCAGCAATAAATTAGATGTTTCTGAAGCAAACAGTGGACAATGTTTGGATTTAGTTATTTCTGTTAAGTTATAGAGATAGAAATTTAACAGAACAACAATATGAAACCATTATAATAAATAATTATGATTGCTAAAACACCATAAACAAATAAACTTTAGTTACCCCTAAAATGGGAAATTCCCGAATTCCGCAACTCAAAACAGGAAACACAACCAGGAACAAAAAAAAATAAACTAGATTAATTTTTCAGTAGATGTTACTACAAATAAAAGCGCTCAAGGAAGTAGAAAAGCTAGGTTAAATGTAACAGCTCAGCAACTACAAGTCTAAATAAAAATACCAACAACAACGAGTAAAAACTAATGCGTTTGATGTTTTTAAATGAACAGCTTTACTTTGAAATTGTCCCGGAAGTCTGGTAACAGTTTTTATCCCCCAACCCTCCGCTATTCCGGTCAGCTGACCAAGAGTCGGTCTGCTGACTGTCAAACCCTCCAAGTCTGCACTGATACTGGGAGACTACCGTCACCGGGCCGAACCCTGCTCTGGCCATGTTATCGGAGCTCCTTTCTCGGGCAGCCACCTGACACCCTCCGCTGTGATCCGGAAGTGCAACGGTTAGCCTAAACACGCCAAAGTCGCGGAAACAGCCGGATTCTCCCTGTCTTCCGTGACCGCTCATCTGGTCGTCTCCATCCCGAGCCCGTGTGACTCCAGCCGGCCCACCTCCCAGGCAGCTTCCGCTGACAGCCATGGCCCTGCTGGACCTCGCCATGCAGGGCCTCGCCGTGTTCGGCTTCATCCTGTTCTTCGTGCTGTGGCTCATGCACTTCATGTCCATCATCTATGTGTGAGTGCATCGCGGAGCGAGGCTAAACATTGCTAACAGCTAGCCTCGGCACAGCTCCTTCCTTTATTTCTGTCTGTCCCCGTGTGATTATGTGTGAACGGGGTTAAACTCGGAAATAAGCCGACCCCCTGCTCCTGGGGACGGGTTTGTGGATGTATGACAGGAGGTGAACCTGCAGCCTGGACGGTTAGCTCTTGGGCGTTTTCCTGGTTACCGCTAGCCGGGTAATGTTAGCTCGGACGGGATATTCCGGTTACTGCGGTCCTTTCAGGTGGTAGTTAACTAAATCACGTCATTAATTATAGTTTTATAAACCGTGAATCGATAACAAGGAACCTGAAGTAACCGTATTTCATCGTACAGAACATTTTAAATGGCGGTAGATGTTTAGGTGACGTTTCTGTAGCTTATTACGCACCTAATTTCCTGCTTCCTCTTAACGCAGAATCTCACTTAATTAAAATAGGATTTTAGAATTTTCATTCAGCAGCCGCTTTTCTTACATTATGGAGTGTATGTTTAGTGTTGTCTTTAAGTGTTGTGAGCCGTTGTTTAATTCGGCTGTAACCCATTTTATCTTTTACTTTTTAATTCCATGAATTTCTATGTTTTTGGTCATGTTTATACTTCTGTACACAGAGCATGACTAAATCAGTTAACTTTTAGTAGGACAGAAGATAAGCATCGTACATAGAAGCCATACCTTTGTGCAGCACCATAAGGGAAGCTGAAAATGAGCATGGGCTTTGGTGCTGTGGAATTTGTGGAACTTATCTTTGCAGCTTAAATTTTTTTTTAATGATTTGGACTCAACAGAGTGAATTCATGCTGCAGGTCTTATAGCAGCACCTGACCTGGCAAAAACAAAACAACATATCCTGTAAATGGACTTTAAAGTTTAGGCTCCTATTCATTGGTCTGAACATGGTTCGTTCATCTCCACCGCTATAGTAAAAGTTCCAGGCAGTCTAGGATTTAAACCCTTTAATTTGCCGGGTTTTCGTAAAGATTAGAAAACTTAAAGAAGTTTCTTTTAAACCCCTCCAGATCTTTGAAAGAGCAAAAAGCAGCTCAGCTGACTTACTGAAGGTTTTGTGAGATTTGCTTCCCCTGAAATTCTTAAGAAGTCATGTGACAGCTTCCTTTTTTTCAGTAGGGAAAGAAAATTGGAGCATACTTCAAACAAACATGGGAGATGTGTTTTAGTTGGCTGTTAAAGGTGAAAGATAACGCGAGTTGATCTGCACAAGGATGTGGAACTGTTGGAGGTAAACATGCTTCCAAAGTTTCTTGGAAATCCGGGAATCTGTCACAGTATGTTCATACATACAGTGTGTTCATACATGTTCACACTTCCCTGGAAGATGTAGGGAGGACTGCAGCATTCATGCCTGCTTTCAATGGGATTAATATTTGGAATGAAAATGACACATCACACATGCGCTCTTCTAAAGATGTGTATTGCCAGAAAATAAAGTTATATGTTCACTTTGACAACATGTGAATCTATACAGATAACATGAGGATGAAATAATTGGGAAGGCTAATTAAAAGCTGAGCTAGTTTGTTTATTATCTTAACATAAAATTATCTGTAAGGACAGCAAAGCCATGTGCTTTCACCTTGATCGCCTTTCCCTCACTCTTATCCTTGGATCAAACAGACAGTCACTGCCTTTGGTCTTATTCATGACCATTAACAGGACGTATGCTCAATGTCAGCATGACGAGTGAGGCAGCCTATGTGAAACGGACTCTCATGAAGAGCCTTTTGTCTCACAGGCAGTGTTTTCACAGGAAAACACCAGCTAAACTCCTTCATCACATAGTTTAAACCTAAAGTGATGCCTTGAGCTGACAGAAAGCATCACTGACAGAAGCTGAGAGAAAATGAATCCTATTTTAATCTAAATGAACTGTATCACTTAGGAGTAAAAAGGAGCTTTTAAGCATGACAGAAAGAGTGGTTCGATAAAATGTTGATATTGACTGTCAGATAAACATATCAACAGCAAGAAAGTGCTTCTATGCACAGCTATGTGCGAGTGACGCCTGTACCACAGACCTCTGGGTGTGAAGCGTTTGTAAGGGTGGTGCCCTGTAACTCCGTCCTGATGGTAGAGGATATATTCACCATGAGGAGGGTGTGAGACATTGTTGAGGATGTCACACCTTTTTCCAGCACTTGGAACTCCCAGAGTTGCATCATACCATGTTGTTCCTAACCTGCAGTGTTTACAGACATATTAAGGTCTGCACAAAACACACTCTGTACTTCTGTCCACCTCCAACCATCTCCACATCAAGTACAAACCTTGTAATCCTTCTCTAAATGACTCAAAGCCATCCCGCTCGCTCTAAAAGCAAAAATTATCTCTTCTGTTTTCAAATGGAGAAAACACAGAGTAACAAAGTCTGTTTCATCTTCTCTCATCAAACCACCAATCATTGCACCTTCAGTAAATTAAAGACTTCAGATGAGTTAATGTACTGCATTCACAGAGTAATGAATGGAGATGTACTGCAGTACACCCCGGAGGGCCGTCGTGGCAACAGATGATACTGCAGCTTTCACTCTAACGTGCAGTGATCAGTCAGCTAAAAAGGATTGAGCACATCTGATGATTGTGCTGTGCAGCCTTTGATATGTGCTCTTACTAAATGCAGATGAAACATGGCACACACAGGTTTGGTCGAGATGACTGTGTATTTTGTGCGGTACATGTAAAAGAGCATTTCCTGTATGGCCTGTGCTTTTGATATTTTTGGTACAGGAACTGTTAATGAGGACTTTCAGGCTCTGGGAACTCGATGGGTCTTATGAATGTTCTTATGAACCTCAAATATGAGGTCTTATGAATCAGATTTGGAACAGGCGACTGAAGAAGACCCTCTTTCACTCCTGCTGCTTTTCGAATATTAATAATTTTAAAAGTCTGAGAAACTTCCTCTGCTTTTACATTTACTTCCTGGCCAGGATTGTTCCACAATATCAACTATGGTCTGTGTTGAAATCTGTTTGTTTATTGTCTAATTTCCTCTTTCTGAGGAGAAAGAAGCGAGTCGCCTTTGTTCCCCTGCAGACAGCTTGTTTGTGCTTCCTCGTTTCTGCTTTTACTTCTCCAGCTACCCATAGTTTATCTTTTAAAAATCTCTATGTTGTGTCAAAACTTTCCCTTATCAAAAGAGAACTGTAGAGCCTATGAAGATGCCGTAGCTTTCTGTGAGACAGTGCACTGTCATTATTCTTATCTCACTGATTGTAGCTCAGGTTTGCTGGTTTTAAGCGGCTGTGTGTAGAGAAGTGTTCTGAACCCTGTAGTGCCTTGTTTATATTTGCTAAAATATAAATCCAGGTCCCTCTCCTCTCTGGTAGGATGCTCTGAAGTTCCTCAGTAGAGTTTACAGGGTATTAGAAACAACATTTGGCAACCTACTTACCTAACCGTATCTTATCTCTGCTGCAGCCCAAGTATTTGCTCTCTGATTAATATAAATAAGCTATAAAAAACTTTACAATCTCCATAGATGGGTCTAAAGGACAAGGACAGAACATCACTATGATAGTGTGTAGCTGTTGCACCATCTGTCATTAATATAAATACAGACACCTCCACCTGCTTTTTTTCACCACTCCATTCTTACAGGATCGCTGAACGCTGTGATGTGAAGGGAGGAACTCTTTGTGTCCTTTACAAAGTTCATTTCAATTTGTTTTTCTAATTTTGTAAATGTGATTGGTTCAGTTAGTTCCCAGTTTTTATTTCTTTGGAAGTCTGGTTCTTGTTTTTATTTTAGTAACTAAAATCTCTTAACAGGCTTAGTTTGAGCTCACTAGGAAAACCTCAGTCTGGATATCGTGTTTGTGCTTCCAGTTAAAAGGCCATCATTGTCCTCCCTGGATCAGAACACTTTGCATTAATTTTAATAGTTAAAGTAAGCTGCTGGAGCAGGTCTGACACAGGAAAATATACTAGCTCCCTTCCAGTTAGCGCTGTTGGATATAACGATATATATCAGATGACGATATAAAAATGTCTATCGTTGCATTTTACGCTATCATTTGTTTCGTGGTGTCGCAAAATAAACTGTTTACGGCAATATTTCTTCATCGTTTTGGTGGTCACTGTAGGGGCTATATTAATTTCTTAAAGTTCTCTCTTTCTCTTATATTTAATATAACCACACTAGAGACGGACAAGCGCCTGTTTTTATGCATTGTGGTTAGCAACAACGACGGTAACAGCATCGCGTGTCCGCTTCTTTTTGTTCCACATAAACCTTTCACATAAAGCTCAAGATCCTGTTGAGACTTTTCAAAATAAACTGAATCACGTGAAAGAGCAGATTATTTACAGATGAGAAGTAAAAAAGAGCCGGCAGGTGCTAAAAACTAAACCGTAGACTCAAACGTTAAAACAGGCTTTTCTCCACAGCACGCCGTGTAATAAATACTCACAAAGAAAACGGCGGCCGTTACAACTTATGTCTAAAAATGTATAGTTTCATGCGTCGGTTAAAACACTCGACTCCAGCTACATGACTTGCAGCAGGAAACACTTCATGCAAGTCGAGCTGCCCGAGATTCACAGAATTTACAGAAAATGTTACATTTTTGTGATTTATATCGTTATCAGGATGATAGAATTCTTATATCGGGATATGAGATTTTGGTCATATCGCACAGCCCTACTTCCAGTACAACAATAAAGTTAAATAGAACCTGGAGCTATAAATCTTTACCTTTCCTTTGGCCAAACTGATTTCCTAATAATAAAATAAAACACTGAAATAAATCAAAGGTCACCCGTTAGATAAAACGCAATCTGTATGAATGATTGATTTTATTTTTTTAGCCCAGTGATACATCACAGTCAGATTATGCTAACAGGAACTTTTTCACCCAGGCGCTGCAGATTTTCCATTCTTGATAAACCCAGAGACTCAAAATAGATTTTAAAATATGTTGGTTATGATGTTCTCTTTAAATAATGTTTTTATTTGTTTGTTTTTTCAAATGTTTCTTTGATTTTTACCTGCTGACCTTTGACCTCTTTCTTTCAGACGTCTTCACCTCCACAAGAAAAGACCAGAGGTCAAACAGCCGTTCATGCAGCTAGCTGGAGTTTCTCTGCTGAAGCCACTAAAAGGAGTTGACCCGAACCTGATCTCCAACCTGGAGACATTCTTTACACTGGATTACCCAAAGGTGAAGCCAAATACTCCCAACCCAGATAATTACCCCTTAGTACTCCCCCCAGCTAACCTATCATGACTGCCTGACTACCAAGACTCCTACTGTCCCACCCTACAGTCCCAGTTACCATCCCACTGTCCTGGGCTACCATCCCTGTCCTTCCACAGACTGACCTTCCATTGCCTCAGTCTACCCTGTAACATTTACTAACCTTTGAGCTCCAATAATAAACATCTGTCTGCTGTTGTACCGCTTCTCAGACTAATTGAAACATCTGGTTTTACAGTTTGAAATCCTGCTGTGCATTCAGGATCAAGACGATCCAGCTGTTGACGTCTGCAAAAAGTTGTTGGGAAAATACCCGAATGTAGACGCTCGATTATTCATTGGTGAGAAAAAATTACTTTAAATTATGCTTTTTTTTTTTTTTTTTTTTTTTTTTTCTTACATGTTTTTCATCTGTTAGCAGCTAACATTAGCATGTGATGTCTCTGGTTCTCAGGAGGGAAGAAAGTTGGAATTAACCCCAAGATCAATAACTTGATGCCGGGCTACGAAGGAGCTAAATATGGCCTGGTGTGGATCTGCGACAGTGGCATCAGAGGTCAGTTCTTCACCACTGATGTGATGGCTATCATTGTTTTCATTGTTGATTCTAAAGCTAACTCCCTTTGTGTTTGTGTGTTGCAGTGAAACCGGACACCCTGACAGATATGACTAATCAGATGACAGAGAAGGTGGGACTGGTACATGGGTTACCGTACGTTGCCGACCGCCAAGGCTTCGCTGCCACACTGGAACAGGTAAAGTCACACTAATGTAATGGGAATTATTTTCTTTACTTGTCTTGATGCTAACAAATGCTAACACTAACCTGTTTCCAGGTGTACTTTGGGACATCCCACCCCCGCTCATACATCTCGGCTAATGTGACTGGGATAAAGTGCGTGACGGGTATGTCATGTCTGATGAGGAAGGATGTTCTGGATCAGGCCGGCGGATTGGTCGCCTTCGCCCAGTACATTGCTGAGGATTACTTCATGGCTAAAGCTATTGCTGACAGGTTGGCACGTTAACATTAGCACCCTGTCGATGTTGCTGTCAGAGCTTCACTTCACACTTATCCTATCTCTCTGCAGAGGCTGGAAATTCTCCATGGCGACACAGGTGGCGCTGCAGAATTCTGGATCTTACTCCATTGGCCAGTTCCAGTCCCGCATGATCAGGTGACCTCAGTACTCATTACTGATTGATTAGTGATGGTTTTTAAATGTTTTTCCCTCCATTTTGCCTGTTTTTTTTTTTTTTTTTTTGGTTTTTTTTTTGGTCCATGACCTGCAGCAAGACATAATTTTATTTACATTTATTGTGTTCTTTAATTTCTTACCTGTTTTGTTTTTCACAATAAGCCATTAGCATTTAGTTTTTATTATTAGTTATAAGCAGCGTTATTAGAGGTGTGGGCTTTTGACTAAAGAGTGGTTGTAGCTGTTGGACCATAGCTCATAATTCTGAATCTCCTCTTTGACCTGAATCCTCAAAGCAGCTGATATTAATCAAGTTTTATGTCTGCAGGTGGACGAAGTTGAGGATCAACATGCTTCCCGGCACCGTGCTTGAGCCTGTTTCCGAATGCTTCCTCGCCAGTCTCATCATCGGCTGGGCCGCTCATTATGTGTTCAGGTACACAGTTGACCACACAGGGATGAGGTCATTGGTTGACTGGGCGTTTATTGTTCTTTAGCCTCAATCACCAAAAAATAGGTTAAACATTTATCACCTGGACATCATCCAGAGAAACTACAGTGGGGCAAAAAAGTATTTAGTCAGCCACCGATTGTGCAAGTTCCCCCACTTAAAATGATGACAGAGGTCAGTAATTTGCACCAGAGGTACACTTCAACTGTGAGAGACAGAATGTGAAAAAAAAATCCATGAATCCACATGGTAGGATTTGTAAAGAATTTATTGGTAAATCAGGGTGGAAAATAAGTATTTGGTCAATAACAAAAATACAACTCAATACTTTGTAACATAACCTTTGTTGGCAATAACAGAGGTCAAACGTTTACTATAGGTCTTTACCAGGTTTGCACACACAGTAGCTGGTATTTTGGCCCATTCCTCCATGCAGATCTTCTCGAGAGCAGTGATGTTTTGGGGCTGTCGCCGAGCAACACGGACTTTCAACTCCCGCCACAGATTTTCTATGGGGTTGAGGTCTGGAGACTGGCTAGGCCACTCCAGGACTTTCAAATGCTTCTTACGGAGCCACTCCTTTGTTGCCCGGGCGGTGTGTTTTGGATCATTGTCATGTTGGAAGACCCAGCCTCGTTTCATCTTCAAAGTTCTCACTGATGGAAGGAGGTTTTGGCTCAAAATCTCACGATACATGGCCCCATTCATTCTGTCCTTAACACGGATCAGTCGTCCTGTCCCCTTGGCAGAAAAACAGCCCCATAGCATGATGTTTCCACCCCCATGCTTCACAGTAGGTATGGTGTTCTTGGGATGCAACTCAGTATTCTTCTTCCTCCAAACACGACGAGTTGAGTTTATACCAAAACGTTCTACTTTGGTTTCATCTGACCACATGACATTCTCCCAATCCTCTGCTGTATCATCCATGTGCTCTCTGGCAAACTTCAGACGGGCCTGGACATGCACTGGCTTCAGCAGCGGAACACGTCTGGCACTGCGGGATTTGATTCCCTGCCGTTGTAGTGTGTTACTGATGGTGACCTTTGTTACTTTGGTCCCAGCTCTCTGCAGGTCATTCACCAGGTCCCCCCGTGTGGTTCTGGGATCTTTGCTCACCGTTCTCATGGTCATTTTGACCCCACGGGATGAGCTCTTGCGTGGAGCCCCAGATTGAGGGAGATTATCAGTGGTCTTGTATGTCTTCCATTTTCTGATGATTGCTCCCACAGTTGATTTTTTCACACCAAGCTGCTTGCCTATTGTAGATTCACTCTTCCCAGTCTGGTGCAGGTCTACAATACTTTTCCTGGTGTCCTTCGAAAGCTCTTTGGTCTTGGCCATGGCGGAGTTTGGAGTCTGACTGTTTGAGGCTGTGGACAGGTGTCTTTTATACAGATGATGAGTTCAAACAGGTGCCATTCATACAGGTAACGAGTGGGAGACAGAAAAGCTTCTTACAGAAGACGTTACAGGTCTGTGAGAGCCAGAGATTTTCCTTGTTTGAGGTGACCAAATACTTATTTTCCACCCTAATTTACGAATAAATTCTTTACAAATCCTACCATGTGGATTCATGGATTTTTTTTTTCACATTCTGTCTCACAGTTGAAGTGTACCTCTGGTGCAAATTACTGACCTCTGTCATCATTTTAAGTGGGGGAACTTGCACAATCAGTGGCTGACTAAATACTTTTTTGCCCCACTGTATATTGATCTGTGTGTGTGTGTGTGTGTGCTTTAGATGGGACATGATGGTGTTCTTCATGTGTCACTGTCTCGCCTGGTTTATATCTGACTACATTCAGCTGACCGGGGTCCAGGTAATATCACATACTTCTAATTTAAAAGGAATATTTTTTTTCAACAACAATTACTTTTTCATTTTTAAGAATTCAGAAACACAAATATGAAGCTGCCAATTACTGATGTTTTCCGATTGATTTAATAATAATATGAAAAATATGAATGTTGTCTTAATTTTCTTCCTTTAAATAGAAAAGATGACAGTTTAGTAAGTAAGGTTAATTAAATTAAAAAAAAAAACTTAAGCCAATTAAAAAATAAAAACATTAAAAACTGGAACAAAAAGATTAAAATATTTGAAGGTTCAGTTCAATAAATAATCGTAAAAATGTTTAGATTTAAAAGTTGTTGTTTTTTTTAATGAAAAACAATACAAACAAATGTAAGAAAGTTAATAAATTTAAATGAAATTGAAAAATAAGGAGATTTTTTTTTTAAAAGTGTGACTGATTACTGGTTGATGACATCACCACAGGGCGGCCCTCTGTGCTTCTCGAAGCTCGACTTTGCAGTCGCCTGGTTCATCAGGGAGTCGATGGCGGTGCAGATCTTCCTGTCGGCTCTGTGGGACCCAACCATCAGCTGGAGGACTGGACGCTACCGGCTACGTTGCGGAGGCACCGCTGAGGAGATCCTCGATGTCTAGTTACCTCGGTGACGGGCCTCATCTGCCCCTCCACCCTCACCTCCTCATTACAGCGAGGAGAGGAAGAGACTGATGTTTGTTTTTGTTTTTGTTTTTCTCTTTTTTTATGAGGAAAAACTGAAGAGTGTGCATGTGTGCGTGTGCACATGAGCGTGCGTGTGTGTGTCTGTGTGTGTGCGCGTGTTTTAACTATTTATCTTTCTTTTGGTGCTAAAAGCTGAAAGACGCCAGAACAAGCCAATGAGAGAGCAGGAAGCAAGGAAATATGTGAGCGACACATGCACTGAATCATCTGGTCTCTGATCAGAGCAAGAAAACAGGACGACCGTGAGCCAATCAGGACAGAGGACTACACAATACTCCCACCTGATTGGCTGATATTATTTTGCATGGAAGGTATTGACGGGCATAAAATAGGCATGAACGAGAGCAGACGTTTTACTCTGAAAGTCCTCTGTGCTGTCAGATATTTAAAAAACTACTTAATTTGAGACTGCAGCACAAACTTGAATGTGACATTCGTCACATTCACATATCAGAAGAACAAGAGTCAGCTTTCACTGTTTTTCTATTGCAAAGCCTTCTCTTCTTCGGTGGTTTTTGAAAAGCTGGAGCTGGAGGACTGTGCTGTTTTCAGAGTAAAATATCTGAAACCTTCTGATTATCACGACTTTTATCCGTTTCCATTGTTTTACAAAAGTAAACAAACAAAAAAAACCTTTTGGATAAAAGAGGAAAATCTGTCCTGGGTGGTTCTGACTGGATGAGCTGAAGTCGTCCAGTTCTGGTTCTGGAGTCATAAAGAGACTTCAGCTGAAACTAATCTTCAGCTCCGGAATCATCTTTACGTGAAAGGTGAATTATATTCAGCTTCTGAGCCTTGTGAGTCACTACAGGAAAGCAGCTGCTTGGTTTTTGCTTCTGTCCATAAAATCTGTGCAGCTTTAGGATAAACATAAAAAAAAATGCAAACATGAGCAGCTGAAGGACTTGAGGCCGCTGACTGTCGTTTAGGAAAAAAAAATGAAGTGAACAATGAACAAGTGAAGTTTTCTCTTAATTCATCATTAAGTTATTTGAAGAAAAAAAATCCTTGTAATGAAATGAAATCGTCAGAATGTCATTATTTTGTCATTGTGAAGGTGCAAAGGTACGGAAACGTGACAAATTATTGTCACAAAATCAACAAGTTCAATCATCAGTTCAGCTGCAAAACCCATAAACGGTAAAATACTCTTTAGTCCGATGTGAGATGCACATCATTATTAAAAATAAATTAAATATTTCTTTGCCATTTCATTTTAAATTGTTAAAACAACACAAGTATAAAATTGATCTAAATTTTAAACTGAAAAGATTAGAAAACTTCTAAAGGGATTGTTGTCTTCTTGAGTAAAATCCAGAAACAAAAAAAATTACAGTGGGAAAAGAGTTGTCTTAATTAAAAAACTAAATTACCAAATGAGACAATAACTTTTCTGGGAGCTCAAATGTCTTTTTCTCCCCTGATTTAATCTCTGACCCTGGAAAACACTTGGGAATCTAGCACTGAATGAATTCCAGTATTTTTTGTAAGGAACGGTCGTAGCATTTCAAGAATTTCTCTTAATGTAAAAAAAAAAAAAAAAAATGACCAAAAATCCACATTTCTGAAGTTTTCAGTCTGAACACTGTGTATGTGTGTGAGGATGTGAGAGAAAGTGTTTCTTTAAGCTCAATGTTAGCGTTTAGCTGTTACCGTAGCCACTTGCGGTTTGGTTGATGACATCACTCTGTCGGATGAACCCTCGTGGCCAGTCAGATGAATCATGTTTGTTTATTGTTGTTGTTGTTGTTTATTTTTTCTAAAGACTTATCTAATGTGGAACAGACCAATCACAGTTCACAACTGTGTCACGATAGGAACAATAAAGTTTTATCTCAACCTAAAATCTGTAAGTGTTTTGTGACAGGCTCAGTTGATTGAGTGGGGGGAGTCTTTGGCAGTCAGATGATTTTATTTAATTATTCAGTGATTCATGCTACAACTTCCTGTCAAAGTTTCAGAATAAATAAAAATTAACAAACTTTGTTTTGGAGCAGAGTGCGGCTTAGCTTAGCGCTGCCCCCTCCCATCATGCACTGGTCCATGTTAAAAATATTTCATATAATAACAATAAAGTCCCACCAGCTCCCACAATGCACCACAACTACTTTACATCAGCTGATACATTCAGGTATAAAAACAGTTTGTTTTAACAAAAAGTTTAAATAAAAATCAAAATAAAATCCCAACATTTTAAACAACCATTTCTAACCTTATTCTGAAAGGGAAAATATATTTTGAAGATTTCATGTTTTCACATACACGCTTTTTAATCCCAACTGTTTATTAATTAATTAACCAAGGCTAGAATAAATATGTAGACAACTGTAAACAAAAATGCTTTCAAAACATTAGCAGGGAATGTTATTTTGAAAGGCAATAGTAGGTGGGTTTATCGCAAAATTCTTTTTTTTAAAAACGGTGTGGTTTACATTTAAATTTAAATGAAGGAAAACAGTTTTCTAGGCCATTCAAACAGGAAGTGATTTCATAATGGGGGCAAATGGATTTGTCCAATTAAAAGGCACAGGAACTTTGGCTTGTTTTGACCCCACCCACCCACAACGCTTGTAACAATTTCACATAAAGTGCTTAAAATCTTTAAATAAGTGGAAAAAAACTCCAATATTAAAAGAAGTAAATTAAAAATGTAAAATGGGGAAAGTTGAACAGAAAATGAACTAAATGGCAGCGGTAGGCAGGTCTGAGGTCAGAAGGCAAACTGGGAATCGGCAGCTTCCTGTATTTTGTGGCTTTTTTCCCATTTAAAAAAAAAAAAAAAAAATCGAATCCAAACAGAAAATGAAAAAAAATATTAAAATAAGGGAGTGAAATTAATAAAATTAATTCAGTAAAAGATGGGACATTTGAAGCTCAACCACTCACAACTCAGCTTAATATACACACATACACACACACACATAAATACCCACGCACAAACACACAGAAAGCCTTACATGTTGTACAGTATAAATACATTCATGATTAAAAAACCCACCCAAAATGTTTACCACCAACAAAAATATTTTAAATGAAGTAGAAAAATTCTACTTAAAAAAAAAAAAAAAAATCTAAAGACACACAAAACAATCCATCACCAAAACCTCCAAACACCACGTAAAAAACTAGAACCCAGCATAATAATTCAGAAAATAAGGCACAGAAGAAGATTTGAGATCGCAGCTTAACCCTAAAATAATAATTAAAAATAATAATCATTAACATAATTCCAGCCAATCAGACGGCAGTGTGCAGAGAGGCTGAAAATTCAAAAATAACAAGGCGGAAGTTTGTGAAGAACGAGAAAAATAAAAACCTGAAGTAAAAAAAACGTTGGAATCTGAATTTTAAACATAAAAAAGGGTCAAATCATTTCATTTCATTTAAAAATAATATCTATAATAATTTACTTAATGCTCATTGGTAATTTTAAATAAAGATAGATTTAAAGTAAACCTTTGATAAAAGGCAGGTTTTTTTCCTTCTTTTTTTTTTTTTTTTTTTTACTTCCTGATTTCGTTTCCTGCATCACATTAACAAACACAAACTGACGTCACCTCCATGATGGACTTCATTACCCACAATGCACTGCTACTCAGTCTGCTCCGGAATGTGCTCTGTAACCTCTGTAGCCATGGCCATGACCCTCGGTTGTGACATCATTTGCCACCATGATACGAGGCTTGCTGTAGGCACAGAAAGATATCCCCGTGGTCTGTCTGTCTGCGCCGCAGGCCAATCAGAAGCCCTGCGCTCTGAGCGGCTGCTCAGAGGTCAAAGGTCAGATGGTGGACTTGGAAAAGGACACCCGGAGGTGCTGGTTGTGGTCCAGCTGGTGGTCGTGAAGGGCGATCAGAGCCTCAATGGCTTCCTCCACCGAAGCCAGCTGCATCAGCGCCATCTTCCTATCCTTCCTGTGACATCAGAGGAAGTGACATCATCACCCACAACCCATCAGAAAGGAGGGAGAGGAAAGGAGTACATAAACACTTACAAAAAAAAAGTTTAAAGAATTTTTAATATTTTTTTTTAACATTAGAAACTGAAGAGAAAACTGAACTTTTTAAACAGTTTATTTCATTATTTTTTTCTTTTTTCATTATTTCGTAAAGTAAACATTTCATACAGTAAACAATTATAGATTTAAATAATATTTTATAAAAATTTAAATTTAAAATTATTCAGTAACATCTGTATTTAAAAAATATGTTTTTTGTTTTCATTTAAATAGTATTTTTCTTTTTAAATAAATCATAATAATCTGCCTTTTTCTGATTGGTTAACAAGCACAAATCAGTGAACGGAGTTGCTTTGTTACTTACTGGAAAAACTTGAAAGCTTTTACTGCAAATCCATTCAAAGAAAATAAATCCTTCAACGCCTCCTCGCTCACTGAAGAGCTAGGAAACAAGGAAACAATGAAGGACAACGATATTTAAATGCATATCAGTCTCCAAGAGTCAAACACATCAAACAGGAAGCGAGGCGGTCTTACGGGATGTTGGAGAGGTGCAACGTTGCTGACGGAGGGAAGATGTTGTTGAAGTTTTTGGAGCCCGGCTTTTTGAAGCGGTGGAGGGCAGAGCCTGAGAAGTCCCGAGTCAGTGCTTGTTCTTCTTGCCCAGCCCCTCCGCGAGGCAGCTGCACCACCGGGTGTTTGGACAACGTCACCCGGATCACGTTACCATGGAGACGCTGCCCGTTCAGGTGACTCATCGCTGTCATTGAAGAACAAAGAGATAAACAAGAATTTGTCTTCTGCTCATCCATTACAGTATTAAAATCATTAAAAATACAATTCCGAACTTTTCATTCATTATAATTCAATTGACCACTGTACTCCCGTGCATTTAGTCATTATTCATGACAATATTTATTATTATCAGGGCTCTAGAGTGCGACCAATTTGGTCGCAAATGCGACCAAATTTCTCCATGGTGCGACTAATAAAAAATACTTGGTTGCACCGGTGCGACCAAGTAAAAAAAATACTTGGTCGCACCGGTGCAACCAAGTATTTTCTCGGAAAAAAAACGTTTCAGCAACCCTGAAAGTCTCCGTGTGTTCAACAACAGACACACATTATGCCCATGTCGTGTTCTAAACCAATCAGAGATACTCAGAGGCGGGGACCTCTGTGATTGGCCGTGGTCCAGATATTCCTGCAGACCTACTTGTGTTTACGTTTGAAAGTGCGGGCAGATAGAGAAGGGTGAGTAGCCCAGGTCAGAAGTGTATGAAGTTGGTATTGAGAAAATATGAAAAGAACAATTGATAACTTTTTCGTTAAGTTAAGGCCTGATCAGTCCAAAATTCTGAGCCAGCGCTCTGACACGGAGCCATCAACCTCTCCGTTTTTGTCAAACACTGGTCCGGAGACGGCATCAGAAAATGAGCCACATACGATCGAGCCGGAGTCCACTGAAAGTAAAAGTGAGAAAATGTATAGATTTCGAATCGAGTGGCTTGTTGTGGGGATGGAGCTGGACTCCCTCAAGGTGGTGTCGGAGAGGCGGATGCTGTCCAAGATAAAGACAATGTTGGATAACACCTCCCACCCACTCCATGACATGTTGGTCAGTCACAGGAGCTCGTTCAGTGAGAGACTGAGATTACCGAAAAGCACCACTGAACGACACAGGAAATCATTCCTGCCTGTGGCCATCTCCCTGTACAACGCATCCACTTAACACACTGTTTGCTGCTACAGCTACACATGTTTCTTTTCCAACTATTTATTTATAAGTGACTTATGTATGTATGTATGTGTATATATATGTATATATTGTACTATTCTTAGTTAGCGTATTGTCTGTCTTGTCTTAATGTTGGTTTAAAATGGAGCACTGTAACAAAAAATTATTTCCCCCAGGGATCAATAAAGTATTCTGATTCTGATTCTGATTCTGATTGACCAGTTTCCCTGGCTAAGATACAGCCAAGCTGACAATATGATGCACTGCATTTATTGTCGCGAGTGTGGAAAGACCATGGCCGGCAACACAGCATTTGTCACTGGTGCTAATACGTTTCGAATTGAAACGCTGAAAAAGCATACAGCATCGAGAAGACACATTATATGCCGCGATAAATGCTCTGCCAAAATGTCCCCGCTCCCCACTGCCTTTCAGCGGCAGGCAGGAGTAAACAGGTCATCGGAGGAGGCCGAGATGATCATTAAGTTTAACATCGCCTACAATATTGCAAAAGAAGAAGTTCCGTTTACTAAGTTCAAGTCAGAAATAACTCTTCACAGGAAAAATGGCTTGGACATAAACCCCACATACAGCAATGATGTTGCGTAAGCCCAGTTTATAGGCGTAATCGCTGACACACTGAAAAAAAAGACGTCAGTGGAAATTGCGAACAGTACATACATGGCCTTCCTGATCGATGGAGACACAGACATCGCCACAAAAGAATGTGTCATTGTGTACGCTCGTATCTTGCAAAAAGGAAGACCAGCGAATATACTGATTGGACACATTGAGGTCCAGCATGCCCATGCCCAAGGTAAGCCATGTCATGTCACGTAGCCTATGTAT